ATATATATATATATATATATATATATATATATATATATATATATATATATAAAATATGTATGTAACATGTAATATAGATAAAACAATTTATTAACCTCACTGAGAACGGTGAAAGTGAAAAGGTGTGGTTTACTGAAGACTGACTTGTAGGAGAGATTTGGTTTGTAGACGTTTGGTTTATAGGAGAATCAGAAGTCAGATGCTGACCATGTGGACAGTGGACATAGAGATCTGAAGATGGTAAGTATACCAGACAGTAAATCAGTTTTTTTCTTATGTACAAATATTCTACTGTTTGTGTCTGTCTTTATTTTGATTCCAGTCTAAGACCACACAAATGTATGTTTAACAGTGTGCTTTGCCCAGAGGAAACTACACTTATCCTGATGGAAGAGCCAGCGCACAGAGCCTGTGCTCCCTCCCCATCTGGTGTTGCATGCCAGAGAGAAGATGCTGCCACTACCTTCCAGCAGAGACCAATAATCACTTTGCAGCATCTTCTTGGCTTGAAACGAAGTGCAATCTTTAAACAGTGGAATAGATTTTTCCATACGCCATACGCTGCTATCCCTTTTGTGTGAATATGAGCTCCTTTGTGGCTTTATTGCTCAGCTGTTGTGGGATGTAGGTATGACATGAACAAGTAAGTATTGAAAATGTGTTTGAAAGCAACTGCTAATTGGATGTGCATACATCCTGCATATTGATGCAAAACCAGTTATTATGGTTCCTGTACTCCTCAGCATCAGGAGTTGATGGTACACTTGATGGTACCATGACATCCATCTGTACAGCCTCACTCCTGGGAAGTGTACATATTCATAGAACAGCAGTTTATAGTTGGCTTGCTCAGCAGCATCAGGGAACTTGATGTATTTTTCAGTTCACAAATGGCTCTGCAGACTGTGTGGACTATTCTACATGCTGATGCTTCACTGGCACGACACAGATCACCAGTTTCATGAAAGATTCCAGGTGCCAAGAATCTCAAATGATGAAAACTTGGAGAGAACTGGGTTCAGGCCTTCCTCTTTGATCCAGAGGAACGTTTAGGCACATGCAAAGTGTTTATTGGTCTTCATTTAGGTATTCTAAATACTCCATGCTGCCAAATCATCTGTGCTCCCTTTTACAAACAATACTAAGCAGAAATTAAAGCTGCCTCTTTGAATGATTATTTTAAGCTTCAATTTAGTTGCAAAGTAGCTCTGATCCACTTTCGTGCAATTTGCGTTGTTTAATACAAAACTGACTAAATCTGCGACTATTTGAAGATAAGGCTGTGCAAGGGAGAGCCCAAACAGCATTTTAGTCTGGGACTAGCTTTAAGCCTCGTCTGCATAACCGACCCCGGGTCTGAAAACATTTCCATAACAGTGGACGACTGACAGCAGAAAAGCACAAGTTTAATTAAAAATTCAGTCAAGCACATGTAGCTGTTAAAAAATACTGTACTGCCAGTAGTTTGCAATATGGTTTGGTTTGTTAAACTTTGCTAACATTAGATGTTTACACTTTAAAAAAAAAAA